TGAATTCCTACCTGGGAGGTTTAACTCGCGAGTTTTCCCCCCCTGATCCCGGAACCCCCACTCACCCGCACCGCCTGGCCGCCCTGGCAAGCTGGAAGCTGAAACAGATACTCTTAAAAGTAGATCTAGCAGATAGTAAATATACCTCCTCCTTCCCCCCATATGACAGGGAAGAAGAGATAATGAAAACAAATAGGGGAGGAGGTGAGGAGGAGAGAGGAAGAGACTGGATCAGTGGATTCTAAGATAAATTTTCAAACTTGGTCATTTAATGCATGCCTTAGCTCTTAAATATTTTAAACCCTGTTCACAGGTCTTCCCCTGTACTTCAGAACCTAAGAGGCTTGGCTTTGCCTGTGATTGCCATGGCCTCTCCAAAAGAAGTAAATTACCTGATTTGAATAAGCTATAGTTTTAGCCTCAGAAAAACTTAGGGTACAGCTAGCTGCCTGCCAACTCACTGCTTCCTAGCTTTTGACTGAAACTATTAGAGAGTTTTCCTGAAAGCATCAAGGGCCTGCTTCCTCCGCCTCTTTAACCACGCAGGATTTGTTCCACGAGGGCTAGAGGTTCCTTATGACTCCAAGAGAACATATTTCTGAACCTTGGTTGTTCACAGTATGGTCCATTGAAAAGCCTTTTGGTCTTCTGCCAGAATTGTGTCAACATGGTTGCATCTTGCAGTGCTCCCTACCATAACAATATTGGGGCCTTGTTTAAGATCAGTTTTGGGTACCTCTGTGACAAGCTATATATACTCAAAGGTCCAGGCTCAGCACACTATCCAGTGCCTAGAGATGGGAGGGACTCAAAAAGAGCTTTTGCTTCAGGAAGCTCTTAACCTTTTCAACTTATTGCTAGGACATGGGGTACAGAGGTAATTAGCATTTGTCCCAGTTATCTAAGTGATTGTGAGATGGTTGGCTAACTATATATACTAAGTTAAGTTTAGTGAGAATATCCAGGGGAGGTTGAGGAAGCCCTGACTAAGAAGATAGCATTTGAGCTGGCTTGGGGATAGGAGCGTTTTGCCAAACCAAGGAAAGGGCAGCCCAGGTATTGTCAGCATGTGCTGTGAAGAAGCTGGCTTCTAGTGTGATTGGAGAGTAGTGTGAAGGGGCATGGGATTCATATGGCTATTTTCAGTGACTATTAGTACTTTCTGTGTGAAAGATAAGGAGCCGTAATGGCATTGTACGGTAAGCACTGGACCGCTAACTGTAAGGTCAACAATTCAAACCCATCAGCAGCTCCTCAGGGGAAAGATGATGCTTTCTTCTCCCTTAAAAATGTATAGCCTGGTAAATGATCTATACTATGGTCACTATGAGTTGGAACCAGTTTTATGGCAGTATTTGGAAGACACTATTCTAGAAATGGAGCACAGAACAAAGTATTTGCCATTATGGGCCTGACATGCTAGTGAGGCAGAGAGATAATAAGTAACTCCATGGATGGTAGGTGGTAGTAAGTGCTTTAAAGCAAATTAAAGGAGTTAGGAGTGGTGATTGGTTAAGTAGCCTCTTTATTAAGATGTCATTGGACCTGAGCCTTAAAGAAAGTGAGGAACCAAGGCATCATTGGTTATGCCAGGGAGAAGTGTACGAAGGCAGAGGTAACAGCAGGTGCAAAGCCCCTGGGCCATGAGCTAAAGTCATTGGTATGTTGGAGGAATAGTCAGGAGGCCAGTGTGATCAGAACAAGAGAAAATAGGGTGGGATGGGGGCTGGGGAGTAAGAAGGAGGGAGGTGGTTTATATAGGTCTTTGTCAATTATAAGCTCATTGTGGGTGTACAGTTCATTTGGAAAGGCAAATTGAAATCATTTTATAAAGGACCTTACATGCCCTGCCCTGCCAAGTAATTTGGGTTGTCTTCTATGCTAACAAGATTTTTAAGCAAGGGAACAACATAGCTAAGCTTGTTTTAGAAAGAATGTTTTCCATGTGGAAGACCAGTTGGAATAGAAGAGATCAGAAATTAGGAGACTGATTTGTGTATCAACCCTTATAGAGATCAGTGCCTTACCACCAGAAACTGCCAAGAACAGATAAAGATTGTGTGGCAGTGAACTACACATCTTTTGTGTGATTTAATTTCTCATATATATGTGTGTGTGTGTGTGTGTGTGTGTGTGTGTGTGTGTGTAATTTTGTTTATTTTAAATGGTGGCAAAGAAATACTATGGTATAGTTGGACAGGTCCTAGACTTGACTCTAGTCTTGGCTCTGTTTGCCTGCCGTGAGGTTTGGGCTCACATCTCTAAGCCTCTTTGCTTTCTTTATAAAATAAGAATAGTGCTGTTTCTCCAAGTATTTCATGAGACACAAAACTCAAGAGTACTATAGAAGCTGTTTGCTGTTTTTATTGTGTAGTATCAAGAGTGAAGGCATTTCATTGGCTTCACTTAGAAGCAAAAGTTTTCCCCGCCCACTCTTTTTTCTATAATTAACCACTGGTCTACTAACCGCAAGGTTGACAATTCAAACCACCATCCACTCCGCTGGAAAAAGATGAGGCTTTCTGCTCCCATAAAGATTGACAACCTCAGAAACCCTACACAGGAGTGCTTTGAGTCAGAATCAGCTTGATGGCAGTGGGGTTGGTTTGGGGGTTTTATTCTACATTAAGCCAAATTGGTTTGTGTCAAGACACCATTTTAGTTGTTAGTACCTGACCAAGCCTTCTCCACTTTAAACCATTGGATCTAAATGGGACTGTGCAAAATTTCCCAGGGAAAATGAATTTTGGCTTTATTAAATGGTTCTGTATAGTATGGTTCTTAAAAAATGTTCCTTTTCAAAGTTATTCCTGTGTAGGGTTATGCTAACTAATAAATATTGTTGTTAAGTGTCATCGATTCGGTTCTGACTCATAGCGACCCTGGATAGGGTTTCCAATGAGTGCTGGTGAGCTTGAACTGCTGACCTTTTGGTTCAAACCGACCTTACAGTCTAGCACATTAACCCACAGTGCCACACCATTACTCTTTAGCAAATTGCACAATTTTTTTTTTAGTGTGTATGTTTCACTTACTTAAGTATTTATTTCCTGTTTTATAGATAAACTTATTGGAGTCCACTGTACCCATGGTTTAAACAGGACTGGCTATCTCATCTGCAGGTGAGTTGTTAGCATCAGAGGCAGACTATTTTTACATTGCTCTTGTCTGATTATAATAGTAATGTAAGTTGTAGAAAAAAAACTATATATATGTATATATATACACACATACATACTGTTAAGTGCTGTTGAGTCAATTCTGACCCATAATGACCCTGTATATGGTTTCTGAGGAGCAGCTGGTGAGCTTGAACTGCCAACCTCACAGTTCAAATGGCTTTGCAGTCTGGCACGTTAACCCACAACACCACACCAGGACTCTCTCTCTATATATGTACATACATATATATACATATATATATATACACACACACACATATATATGTATATATGTGTGTGTATGTACATAGGAGGGTCAGAGAAAAAGAGGAAGACCCCCTGCGAGATGGATTGGCAAAGTGGCAGCATCAATGGGCTCAAGCGTAGCAACAATCGTGAGTTTGGCCCAGGATCAGGCAGTGTTTCGTTCTGTTGTGCATAAGGTCGCTATGAGTCAGTACCGACTCGATGGCACCTAACAACAATAACAACAAATATACATATATATGTATACGTATATATATGTATATATGTGTGTGTGTGTATGTGTGTATATATATGTAAAGTGGAAAGTCAGAGTACCTTGTAATCTTGCTCCCTACCCAGAGATGACCATAACAATTTACTGCACATCGTCCAGACTTTAAAAAAAAAAAAAATATGTATATATAATTTAATAGTATCATATTTAGTTGACGTTCTGTTTTATAACAATACATATGTGATGGACATATTTCTATGAAGTATATGACAACCTCTTTTTTTGGTCTTAATTTTATTACATTCAAGGTGTTAAGACAAGTACAAAATAGCCTTATAATTAGGATACTGTGTCAGCCATAAAAAAAAGAGACATTACTACAGTATGAAAAGATTTACAAATGATCAAAACACACAAGCTGTGACAGAATTAACAGACAACTGGAAATGGGAAGGCTGCTTTTTTTTTTCTTTTAGAAATGCTAAATTTTTTAACCAAAAAAAAAACAGTTAAAATGCAGCAATCTAAGTATATATGAACTCCTGGTGTGGCGCTGTAGGTTAATGTGCTAGACTGCAAAGCCGTTTAAACTATAAGGTCGGCAGTTCAAGCTCACCAGCTGCTCCTCAGAAACCCTATAGAGGGTTTCTATGGGTCGGAACCAACTCAACAGCACTTAACAACAACAAATATATATGAGGACTTGAAAGAAGCAGTCTTAATATACACTTAACTACTATTAGTATAACAGATTCCCTTAGAAACAGCCTTTGCCAATACATGCCTACTTCCTTCTCCTAGCTTTAAGGAACAATTTCCTCTATGGGGTGCTATTGTTGTTATGTACCATGGAGTCGGTTCCGACTCATAGCGACCCTGTACAAGGTATCTGAGGTTGTAAATCTTTATGGGAGCAGAAAGCCTCATCTTTCTCCCACGGAACAGCTGGTAGTTTCCAACTGCTGACCTTGCAGCTTGCAGCCCGATTCATAACCACTACGGTACCAGAGCTCCTTCTGTGGGGTGCTAATGCAGCAAAATCCATGAATAATGTCTTTTATTTTTAAAGTTACAACCTGCAGAGAAATTAACACTTGGGTAATCCAGATACAACAATGGCAGCCACTCTTCACATGTCTCTGAGAACAAGTCCCCTTGGTCTGTGCTGTAGAACCTTGTCCCCCCCTCACCACAGATCCTGTTCTGTGATAGGTCCCTGCTATCTTCAACCCTCCTCCCATATTGGCACTCACCTTATCCATCCCAGAAAGTGTTTTTAAGGTCATACTAACCTTTCTGGAAAGTGTTTTTAAAAACATCTAGGTATGTGTCCCAGCATACATGTTTGTTTGTTTTTTTCAAAGCCCTCTGTGTGCACCAGAGGTGAAGAAAATTGTGTTCTTGGCCTAAATATTTAATTCTTAGGGTTTTTTCTTTCCTTTTTAAAGCTTTAGAAGGGTTGAAAAGGTGTGATTCAAGTACTTGAGTTTTAAATGTCAGTTAGTTTTCCTGGGGTATAAAAGAGAGAACATCTCCATCTTCCAAACACACACAGGGTAAGAGAAGGGAAAGAGAGCAACCTGTTGAGCTGCATGTCGCTTCCCAGCCCCCTTCTGGCTCAGGTTCTTTCATAAGAACTAGTTATTCCTTCCACAATGTTGCTATAGGAGGCCACATTCTCCTTAAAGGCTGCTCTTTATTCATTGATAAATTGATGAACATAGAAATCGTTAAGTTCTTTATATTGTAGAACATTGAAGTAGTGAAGATTCCTGTATGAATATCTTTGAATACATATGCTATTGTTTCACTCAAAATGAAATTTCTAGGCCAGTGGATGTGTGTGTGTGTGTATGTATATATATATATATATACATACACACACACACATATAGAGAGAGAGAGAGTCTACTTTTTATGGCTTTTATGTTCATTTAGAAAGTATATATTGAACATCTCTTATTTGTAGGCACTGTGCTTGGGTTGGGGTTGGGGATACTTTTGTGAGCAAACAGATTTGACCTCTCTCTTTGTGAATTCTAGCAAGGAAATAGACATTAAAGAGTCACATATGCATCTGGAATTGCAACTCTTTACAAGTGTTAAGAAGGAGAGGTGAATAGTGCTGAAAGAGTATATAACAGGAGGATTTTACCTCACAGAGAAGGTTTTCCTGGGGATGTTTGAACTGACATCTGAAGGGTGAGTAGGTGTTAATTAAATGGGGAGGATGTTGAGGAGAGAATTCTGGGCATTAGGATTGTCAAAGACCCTGTAATAGGCAAGTGTATACTGAAAGAAACCATCAGCCTCGCCGTGCAGGAAGTGCAGCATTCAGATGGAGCTCTAAGTAGGGGTAGAAGCTAGATCGTGTGGGTCTATTTTTAAGATTATAAGAGCAATACAAAGTTATTGGACGTTTTTTATCGGGAATGAGTGTGTGAAACATAATCGCATTTGCATTTTCAACATTTCATTTTAGTTATTGAGTGGAGATTGCACTGCAGTGGGGGAAAGTGGAAACAAGGAGACAAGTTAGGAAGCTTTTGCAAAAGTCCATGCATACTGGTAGCTTGGATCAAGTTGCGGTGATCATTTAGGAAGAAAATGGGGCTGTATTCTGGAGTTAGGAGCTCTGGTGGTAGCGTATTGGTTACGAGTTGGGCTGCTTACTGCAAGTTTACCAGTTTGAAACTACCAGCCATTCTATGGGAGAAAGATGAGTCTTTCTGCTCTGGTCAAAATTTACAGCCTCAGAAACCCTATGTAGGGTCACTATGAGTCGGAACCAACTCCATGGCATATCACCACCACCACCACCAGTGTAGACTTGTTTAGGTAACTAGTTGTTCAAGACCACCACCACCACCAGTGTAGACTTGTTTAGGTAACTAGTTGTTCAAGACTTGGTGTTTGGTGGGTTTGAGATAGTAGTAACTGACAGTGAGGGTACCGCTTAAGTTTGGGCCCATACAGTTGGAATCCTGGTGTGGCGCTGTGGGTTAATACACTGGACTGCAAGATCGGTTTGAATTGCAAGGTCAGCAGTTCAGCCTCACCAGTTGCTCCTTGGAAACCCTATATAGGGTCATTGAGTCGGAACTGACTCAACAGCATTTAACAACAACGGTTGAATAGACAGTATTTTTAGATCAATATTAATACTTTTCTCCGTTTGTTTTTTACTTATTGCTTACCTAATAAATACTATTGTGTTTTGTAAGTCTCCTAGTTTTACTTTACAATCTGTTTTGATCAAGAATTACTGTTGAATTTTCCGAGATTTTTAATGAATTTTCCTACCTTTTTAATGTCTATAAGGTTGGTGCTGCATTTTCATTTCTTTCATATATTAAACTGTTAAATTAGTGTAAATAATCATATTAGTACCTTTTCTAAAGCAGGTCATCTTTCCATTCTTGGAATAAAGTCTTTTTATGTGATCATGGTATATCATCTTAATAGTTATTGGATTCAGTATACTGATAACTGATTAGTATATTTATAAATGACATTGGATCTTTCTTGAAAAAACTTAGTTATTTTCTATTTGTATATATAAATGACCCAAATTATGTTGTTTTGGTAGATATTTGATTGATGTAGAAGGCATGAGACCAGATGATGCAATTGAATGTAAGTATGAGGGTTTATCACTATTTTTATCAAAAGTTGAGGTGGAAATATAGATAGTGGTTGTGGTAGTTATGGGCCATGGAGTTAGTTCTGACTCATAGTGATCCTGTACAGGGTTTCCAAGGCTGTACATCTTTATGGGAGCAGAAAGCCTCATCTTTCTCCCATGGAACAGCTGGTAGTTTCAAACTGCTGACCCTGAGGTTAGCAGCCCAATTTGTAACCACTACAATCCTTGAAAATGTAGGTAGACTTCTCCAATTTCTAGGGGAAAAAGTTTATAATTCATTAGTTTTAATATAAAATAATTTGCCCAAAGTTTATAAAGGATACATCTAGAAATAATGGTTTATAACAGTTTGAATAATTAGTTACTGGAGTTCAGCTTTAATTTGCTTTCTCTGGGAAAGATTTGCTTTTTGTACATTTATTTCTAACAGTTCGTCTACTCTTCAGTGTTCAATAGATGCCGGGGACATTGCATAGAAAGAAACAACTACATTGAGGACCTTCTGAAAGGACCTATCAGAAAGTAAGTCTTGTGTTTTATGTGTGCGGTTTGTAGTTTGGGATGTCTTTTTTAAAATATAGTTTAAGTTGCATACATTGATTCTTACTGTAACTTGTTTATTTGTTGGGGAAACATACACAAATAGAAACAGGGAGAAAGGGGTTGTGATTTCATAGACAAAGTCTAGTCACTGAATTGGCTGCTCAATTTGGAAACCAGTTAATAATATTCTGTGGAAATAATTCTCTTTGAGGAATTGGGGTTCCAGTGTATCCAGGTCAAGTGGTTTTGAAGAATCAACACATCTCATGGAACCAGTCCATACCACTAATAGATTTGTTCACCAAAGACCTAAATATAACCTACATCAAACTCAAGTTCATCCAGCACCCTCTTGGCATTTCAACTCTCACACCCAGGAATTGCAACACCCAGTCAGGTACCTCTGCTTTCCCTTTTTCTAGTATTTAATAAAAGTTTGTATTATAAATTAATGAAAACATGTTATGACATAGGTCTGAGGAATTGACCTTTTCTTACTGATCATTGTCAGGTAGGAGGACTGTCCTGCTCTGTATTTTAAATATAGGACTGGGAAATCACAACAGGATGGGGAATGCATGAGATTTTAGAGACAATTGGGAAAGAAAAATTGTCATTGATTCTAAACTTATTTTAGGCAAACTATTTAATGTGCCTACCAAAAAGGATTTTGCATTCTTAGGCTACATTAAACTAGTGCCATAGTTATAAGGATTAGGGGGCTTGCTATTATTTAAAGAGGAAATAACAAATAAGAAAAATACTAAAATTCCAGTTAAGAAATTTGTGAAGGATTTAAATAGATAAATCACTTGGGAACCGGGAAAACCTCAATAGAGTTAAGCTAAACTCTTTTAAAAGATGTTGACATTTTTTTAAAGATGTAAACATTTCAGAGAAATGTTGCTACTGGAGTCCTGGTGTGGGTAATGTGCTAGATTGCAAGGTCGGTGGTTCAGGCTAACCGGATCCTCCTTGAAAACCCTGTACAGGGTAGCTATGAGTCAGAACCGACTTGATGGCACTTAACAACAATTTTGCTAGTCACACTGAAAATTGGTATCATTCTGATAACAAAATTTTAAAGGCAATAAAAATACAGGTTGAAATTAAGGAAATAACTTCAAAATATGTATAAAAATGTATAAAACTAGATTCATTGAGACATTCAAGACATTTCTCAGACTCCCTACTATGTGTCCAATACTGAGCTAGATGCTCAGGATATAGCAGTGTATGTACTGAGATATTAATCCCAGTGTTATTTATAATGGAAGAATTGATAGCAGCTTATATGTATAACAATGGTGAGTAGCTAAACTGTTATGTTCATATTATGACATTTCATACACCTTAAAATATGATAAGTGGGAATAATAGGGTATATAATTCAACAGTACAAGAAAGATGCTAAAGGAACAAACAAGATGGCAGATCAGGTGGTAGTGCAGTCAAGAGCTCCCTCAGCAACAACACAATACTGGACCAAGCAGATTGGGGATGGTGCCAAAACTCTGAACCACATATAAAGGAATATTTAGAAGGTTGATAGGATTACAGCTAGGGGAATTTGTCGCAGAGCAAAAAATCCATTGCTTTCTAAATCAAGATGCTCAGCTGCTCCCAGAGCCTCCATCTTGGGTGAAACCAAGCTGGAGAAGGAGCAGAGAAGCCACAGATGCTTGCCAGAACCATGGAGATGAAGAAGAGTGAAAAGGTAAGCCCATTTCCTGATCACATCTACTGGAGGCAAACAGCATAAAAAATACCAAAATACACACCCATCTAAGTATTAAGGCCACAGAGATAACTCCTGAATATGCCCCTCCCCCCCAAAAAAGAAAAAGATAACCATATCAACACATGTCCAGAAATGAGATAAAGAGACTGAGGCAAATAAGCTGGAATTAGACCTACACTCCATACTGGAAGGAGGGCAGGCTTTGGAAATGCCTGAGAAGGAATTCAGAAAAATAATTATAAAATGAATCAAAACACTATACAATGGAGTTGAGAAAAA